AGATTGTCTTCTGTATCATATCCAAAATTTATGAGAAAAGATTTTAAAAGTCATGCTTTGATTCATATAACGAAAATAATCTGGGAAAATATCAAGGCGTAAATATCTACCTTGTGTATGTGTGGCTTCACGAACAGCTTCAAAGTTCACATCAAATCTTTTGCTTCTGTGAATTATGTCCAACTTGTTCTTCTGAAGACAAAGTGTTATGTGAAACACTTCGGCGGGAAGTTTTCCACTGGCCAAAATTATAAGTCACAAAACTTCAAACCAATGAGAACCAGCAAAACAAGACACACCCTCGTCACTAAAACTACTCACAAAATTTATTTGACCACAACCTTATTGAACAACAAACTTTATCGAGCATAAAACTGTAGCCTACGGTCAAATTATAATAAAGAACGAACACGCGTTTCATTCTAGATATATTGTTTTTTGATATGTTTTTTAAATACATATATACCAATCGAAGTCTTAAATACGAACTAACCGGCGAAATTAATTGTCCTAAACGGACATATCTAGATTTCATTACGGCAACCTCATTTGAATCTATATAGAAATAATCATATATTTATTTTCTGACCGTGATTGAACAACTTCAGCGCTTAGCTGACAAGTTACAACGAAAAATGTGTGTACTTACTCAATAGACACACTTCCGACAGCAGTAGACCAACGTTCCCGCCCTACTGTGATCAAATAACCTACGCATTAATTTTTCCTTGTCTAGAATATACCTAAAATATTTGCAACTGAACGACTACCAAAAAATAAAATTAAATTAATCGGTATATCTGAATGAAAAGGAAAAAAATAAAGAAGCAAACTATTTACAACAAAGCCATATAATTTAACAGTAAAAGTAACAGTGATATATGGTTTACAACAGATAAACTTTAATTATATGTTTTTCTTATACATTTTCAATCAGCTTTGTCAAACTTGTAATACATGTTTCATAACGTGGGGCCAAGTCAATGAAAGTATCCTAGGATATGTCTTAAGATATGTCTTAGGACATTATTTAGGATGCTTTAGGACGTGTCTAAGACATGTCATAGGATGGAAAACAAAGCTATCTTAGGACAGTCCTAACTACGATTGTCCTAGGACCATCCTATCACATTTATTTAATTAATAAAAATATGTAGAGAATTAAATGAAATATATTTTAATGTATTTCCGTATATATGTAGAGGTCGGGAGGTTGCATCTTTTATTTTTTTTAACGCAGAATAAAGTTTTAACGTAATACTCATACATAAATATTATATACTATTAAAATGATAAATAAATTCCATACAACAACTAAACTACAATTGTCGCAAAACTTTGTTAGAGGCTAGTTTTGTCCTTAGGTCCATTCGATTTCATTACATGTATTGAATCAGCCTTAGTAAGAAAATAAGTCAATTTTTTTTTCTGAAACCGAAATTCAAATGTTTTCCACATTTCAATTAATATCAATGTACCATTTGGTCAGGTGCAATAAATGTTGCTTAGATTGATATAATTTTTAAACTTCAAAAAAGGGCAGCAGAAATCATTTTAAAGGAGCGTTATAATATGACATCGTCAAAAAAGTTTTTGAAGAGCTGCAATGAATGCCCATTTCACATTCATGATTTTGTATATAGAAAAATAATTGTACAGCTATTAAAGTACTTCACCAAATGACTCCGGAACATCTCAATGTAATTAGCTATGTGCATCAGGTTAGTTCTAGAACAACCAGACAAAGTACAGGGGCGGATCCAGTCCCGTCATTTAAAAAAAGGGGGGTCCACCATATGTCCCCATTCAAAAGCATTGATCGTCAAAAGAATGGGGGGGGGGGGGGGGTTCCAACCCCCGGAACTGAATACTATAAACGCTCCTTGATGATATCTGGAATTATTACATTGGTTGCAATGAATTACATTGATTTCCCAGTGAAATAAAAACCGATAATTTCACATGTGAAATAAACGTGGTTATTTCACTCCTCTGACGTCATACAACAATAGGCGTTGTCAAGACGTCGATAATGCGGATCAAAACAAATTGTAAATGCGTAGAAAAAGATATAGTTCCTTACGTTTTCTACTTTATTTCATAAAAAAGCCATTTGCCAATGTAATAAAAAGAATAACTAATCAAAGAATTCAAATATCGAAAAATATTCAACTCGTGAAAGAACAACACTGATAATTAACTCATGCGCTACGCGCATTCGTGAATTAATGTGTTGTTCGGTCACTCGTTGAATATTTTTCTCTATTTGAAATCTTCGATTAGTTATTCTATAATTATCATATACTTAGAGTAAATAACTTATAATTTTTACAGTATGATAATAGCATTAAATTTATGATAATTCCATATTTTCCGAATTGGTGTTTAGCGGGCTGATATGAAAAATTTATCACATGTTTCAGCTAATAATTTAATTTTGGATGTAACGCGTCTTCCGATTGGCTGACGTTGTTTTGTTTATCAGCTCATAGACATAATTTTGTCATGTGACCTTGACGTCATCAACGTTTTTTCATGATTTACACCGGTTTAAAATGGAATTAAGAATTAAATTACAAGAAATGACTGTAATATTTTTTCTGTCTATTCGAAATAACATAAAAAATGTGGTGCACACTTTAAAATAACCGGCTACGCGGGTTATTCAGTGTGCACCACATTTTTGATGTTATTTCTTCATAGACAGAAAAAATATTGCAGTCATTTCTTAATTATCACATGCCTTTCAGTAACGTTATCGCATGGCATTCCGGCGTTACTCGGCAAATTCCGGAAAATAACCTCAATGGTACGTTTTCAGTGAAAAACATAACAAAGTAGGGTACAAAACAATTATTAGGAAACAGGAAAATATATTACCGTTATTTAAAATGCAAAAAAAAAAACCAAATGATACAATAATGAATTTTTAAAGGTTTCCAGTATAATTGAGAAAGTTACTTTACAAATGTTGACTTTTCCAAACAGTGTTCATTATGTTTTGTTGATTTTTTTTTATCGTCAATATAAAAATATATTATACTATTGTTTTTCTCCTCTGTTGAGGCATATGATAGAAAGATTTCATATCGAATGTATTACATTTCGTGTCCGACGTCCTTAAACTTTTCACTTTTTGAACTTCTACTTGAGAACCACTTAAAAGAATCAATATATTAAACTGTTATTTTTTCTCCATGGGTTGAAGCATATATGATAAAAAGATCGTAACATGTCATTTTTCATATCCGATGTATTTTCAGCCCTCGGTCAATATCAGCCCTCGAGCCTTCGGCTCTTTGGCTGATATTGAACCTTGGGCTGATAATACATGTGATATGAAAAATGCCATGTAATAATCTGATAGTATTTCATGGAACAATTTGTCTACAAATTTATAACAATGTAACACAATTGAAAATTTTAATTACATATATTGAAGATTATTCTATTAACAGTATTATAGCTTAATATTTGTATTAGTATTTTTATTATTGAATTTTATACGTTATGTTGTAATATATGTAATGCAGGACCTTATTGTAAACTAGTCTTTCGACTAAATAATTTATCCTGTTGAAATAAAGGAAAGGATAATTATTATTAAAGTCGACTTGCCGAAGTAAATAAGCACCCGTGGATTTTATTCAACAAGCTATCAAATGTGGGGACGAATAATATTAAGGAGAAGACATGGGATAGTATCTACACGGAGTAAATATTAAGGAGAAGACATGGGATAGTATCTTCACGGAGTAAATTCTTCATATACTGACTGAAGGCCATATTTGTTGTTTTTATTTCAACTTGGGACATCGTAACTTTTAGGACTATCCTAAACATCGTAACTTTTAGGACTATCCTAAAACCATCATAAGACAACTATGTATATATCCTAACTTTATGACCATATTTAGGACATAACTTATCTTGTCGATTTTGGCGAGTCTAACTTATGCTCGACTCATAAATGTTAGACTGTTGTAGAGTTTTGACAGCAGAAATGATGTCACATTTTAACAGATGATATGTGGTTCACAAACCACCGCAATTTCCTGATTCAGTTTAAGTGAAAATATTTTCACTTCCTTAAATAGAAAAAAAATATGGTATTGAAGATATTTTAATAAGTTACTACTCATAAATTATTTACGTGATAATATAAACGTTTCATATTATAACAGTTAACTTGCTGAAGATTATTTTTCAACCGTTTTAACGAACTATTAGGAATACTAATAATTATTTTCTCTCTTTTGCCACCCGGGTAACCTTTTTTTTTTTTAGCTCACCTAGCCTGAAAGGGCAAATGAGCTTTTCTCATCACTTGACGTCCTTCGTCGTTAACTTTTTTCATGTTCGCCTAATATCTACAAACCTATAGTAGAAACTGTTATAGATAGATATAAACTTTAAAAAGCTATAAAGTGATCATCAAGACAAGACCTACAAATTAGTTTCAATCTTGAAATCGTCTGACGTCTCCTTATTGGAGTTATTGCCCTTTGATAATGATTTTCACTATTTTTTTGGCGTTTTGCCTAATATTTGAAACAACTGTTAATAGATAGATAGAAACTTAAATAAGCAAAAAGAATCCGCAGCTTAAATGATCGGTCATAATATAAAAAAGAAGATGTGGTATGATTGCCAATGAGACAACTCTCCACAAGAGACCAAATGACACAGAAATTAACAACTATAGGTCACCGTACGGCCTTCAACAATGAGCAAAGCCCATACCGCACAGTCAGCTCAGTATAAAAGTCCCCGAGCTTGATGAGTCTTTACTTTTAAAAGTGAAAAAAAGTGGTGCAGTTGATTATCCTCATTTATATAAAGCTGTTGTAAATTATGTAAAGTTAAGAAAAAGTAGAAGTAGAAAAGTACAGTAAACAACACCATCTACAAATCATAGACCGAGTTTGTAATAGTCCGAGTTTGTGATAGGCCGAGATTATTATAGGCCGACTTAACCAACAACGTCAATTTTGAGTGATCTCCCCTATCCTATGATTGAAAAGTTGACTTTCAGTTTCGCTGTTTTCTTCACCGGTTCAGCTGTCACAGATTTGACTAGTGCCTCTGGTCTGTAGATATAGGAACTAAATCTGTTGAATATTAAACTTTTATGTAAGGACCAGCTTGACCGATAATTTATCCCATATACAATGAAGTCAGTTACCTAACATCAGCCTATGTTTATGACCAGGATTAAAACATTTTTAGTTAGTGTGCATGATGATAGAATCACTAGACTTCTAACGTGTTCAGAGTAAAATCAAGGAAATATGTTTTCTATTTCTATTATTTTACATATTTCCTTAATATTTATACCAAATTAAAAAAATACATTGCACTGGCACAGGGCCAGGGGTTCAAACTTACTTAAGGCAAATGGTAAGCAAAGGACCTTTGACCAAAAGGACTGAAAGGTCCTCCATTATGCTTAGAAGGTCCAATTATAATCGTGCAACATTCAATTTATGAAACCAGAAAATTCTTACCGGTTCCAAAGCACTCATGATCATCATGTCTACAAGACTGTCAACAAGTCAACTCAGACAGTCTATGAGTCATATTGGACCATCTATAATGCCAACTCAGATTAAGTATAAAATAAGAGTTTTGATGAGTTTTTGATGTGTCCGAAGAGAAGTCTCTAGTAAAGTTTTGACACCAATTTTGACAAAAAAGATGACTCTGGTGTCTACACTAATTGAATGAATTCAGCTCACTAAGATTTTTTTATTTCTGTTGTTTGAAAGCTGTATGAGTAAATAAAGTGTAATGTTCTGGTAGATTCTGTTAAGAAGAATTAAATTTACATTATTGATTGTTGATATAATTAATTATTATTATGAAATAACAAATTTAATTAACGAATTAATGAAGATTTTATTCAAATTATAGAATCACCATGGCATGATGAAGTAGAAATAAGAATCTATATTAAATACTTTGATGTAAAATATAACATGTTATCATTTAAATAGTACAATGTTCATACTTTGTTCATTCTTGTTGGAGTTGGCATTATAGACAGTCCAAGTTGACTTTAAAATAATAAATAAAGAATTCAACAAATAAATAAAACAAATTCAGCCTAGCTTTCTCTTTTTTGTTGCTTCATATAAGTTTTATAATAAATTGATATAGATATGTAAAAATTTTGAATTCACATTATACAAAATGTTATACATGTTATACAATAACTGTTTTTATTATGTTTTGCAAATTCGGCAACATGCAAATGATATATATATATATATATATATATTGTCATGTAAAATATAACATTTAATAATTTATAATCATTTATATAGTTTAAATCCTCTTTTAATACATTATCTGTCAGAGCTGTCATTATAGACGGTCCTAGTTGATTTTATAGGGGTCAGAGTTGACTTATTAGACGGTCCGATTTGTCTAGGTCTGACTTGTTTCTTGGCTGAGTTGTCCCCCATTCATTTGATGCACATCTGGATTTACCAATTTATAAATCAAAGGAGTAGGCCCGATAAGACCCCTTTTTTGCCCCAAAATATAGCATTTTTACAAATTTGTTTAAATGTAAACTTTTAGCTATTTACATGATTTATTGGAAAGTAGAATTCAGAGCTCCAGATAAGAATTCACAAATTGGGGTTTTTACCCACCATTTTATTATGTAATTGGGTAATAAAGTTTTTAAATTGCATTATCAATTCCAAGCACCCCTCAAGCAAATATCAAATTGGGTTTTTCACCATCAAGCTCTTTAATGTATTGGGTTTTTTCATCAACACAATATTGAATGTTTAGGCATGTTATAATCACATTATATCAACCCCATGCAGATGTTTTTCCATCTTAAATGTGTTTCTTTCTTTGTATATATGCTAGCTGTTTTATTTGGTTTATTCACTGATGAGCAACTGTACATTTAATTTGTGTCCGATTTTAAACGTTCTGCCAGTTTTGTATTTTCTCACAACTTATATAAACTGCAGCTGGTGTCACTAGTTGGACAGTTACTAATTACCTTTTTAGATCACATATGATCACCCTTCAGTTTAGTTGGGGTAGGCGTGGCTAAGTGTTTAGATTTTTATGTAATATATGTGAAATTTAGGTGCTGTAAGAAAGTTTTGCCAGTCCTTTCACCTATTTGCCAGATCTACTTTTTAATAATAATAATAATAAGTAGTTCCCAGATTTAAGATATACCCCAAAACCGTGACCAGGTTTATAGGTTTAATGACGGAGACCACATTCAACTTAAATTTACAGAGTTAAATTTACAAATAATTCTGCAACATCAAATAAATAAATGACAATGTTAAACTGCACTTGCCAATAAGACAACTATCATAAGCATACAGAACAATAAGACCAAAACAAAGAAAGTGTCAAGATGCATTGACGTGAAAAACGGATATGTGTATTCACTCATCAACTAAAAGGAAAAAAATAATATATATAAACTGTTTTCGTTTAATTCAATTTACATAAATCTGGGTTAAATTGTCCCTTATCAGAACTTTTGGTTTCCGATGCTTTCAAACTACATATCATGTCATAATTGATTTGGCCTTTCACTTTTTCCAACTGATTTCGTTCTTGACAAAACCCCGTGTTTATCGTTCTAGCAATGTTCTCGTTAAGGTACGCAAACGGGTCTTGTTATCATCATAATAACTTTCCCTAAAGTATCAAAAAGAAGCTGAAAACATGCTTCTATTCAATATTTTTATCGGATATTTACTTTCGTTTTAATTCATTGTATGTTATGATAAATCCCGAGCAATTCGAAAAAAATATGACAACAAGACAAACGCTAATTGGATAAACGCCGAGAAGATCGAAATGTTTTCATAAACACGTGTCCCTTTTGAGCAACGGAAAATTCCAACAGGGACCCATTTCGGCTACTTGATGCAGGGCTCTATTTTTAGAACAAAGGACATTTCCAATTATAAATATTATAAAAATAGATTTACGCGAAGACTGTAATCAGATAAGTGTAAATAACGCAAACGATAGCGAATAAAAGCGTTAAGAACTCATGGTTTTGGCATATAATTGGGGTTTCCTTTGAATGAATTGGGTTTTTGAACCCTGCAATGCCAATGGGCAATTGCATTGAGTTTTTAATTATTTGTATTGCGTGATCACGCAAATACGCAGCTTATCTGGAGCTCTGTACTAGAATACTTTTGCTACATAAATATTGGCTGTTTTTGACAATGCAATGCACATACATCAGGTACTAGCATCATTAATTCATGCAAAATTACTGAAATCTTCACAATTGTAACATTTGTACTAATTTGTAGACGTTTTTTGTCTAAAATTGAAGTGGCCGCACTTGTGTTTAGTCTTAATATTTAAATATATGTTGTACTTGATGATATTACATAACATATATAAAGGTTGAGACTGAACACGAATGCGGCCACTTTCATTTTATACAAAAACCATCTGAAAAGTGACATTTTATGGCAAATTCGATAGATTTTTCATATTAAAACTTGAATTTGAGCGTTTTTGATGACCAAATCAGTTCAAATCTTTTACAAAAAACTAACTGAATCGACTGAAGTAGACACTTAAGTGTTTAAAAAATGTCAAAAATCTTTCATCAGATGTACTTCAAATTTGAGGCCAAAATTAGCCATTACCGGACCTTTTCCTTTTGCAATTAAAATCATTGAGAAGTAATTAAAAGATTGGAAATACCAACCTTCTAAGTTGATGCCATTAATTACTGCCCTGTATGTCAAAATCAGTAGTTAAATTTCGTTCAAATAATTAAAGTCTTGATAAAGGTGTTGTGCAGTTCTAATTAAGATGTACAATGTAGAAAATATTCTACAATATATTTTTATAATTAAGAAATGCACATTTATACTCGTTGGATTGAAGGCAAACAATACAATAATATACACAATGCACAAATTATATTATATTTAAACATCATATACCAATATAAAAAAAGTGCAATATTAGTTATTCAGTTGTGGTGTACACTCTCCTCAGTGCAAATGATTTTTTAATAAACTATATAATATTAGATGACGATAAAAGTAATTGGAATCTATCTGTTTTGGATGATACCATAAATCCTGGATGAATATTATTTATGTCTTTTTCAAGCTGTTTTCGAAAAGATTTAATAAATAAAAATACTCTGAAAACACAGAACATTACTTCATCATTTAGTTCAGTATAATTCAATTATGGTCTTCATCAAAAGTTATTATCAAAAATATTTAATTTTAGTAAGAACCTTTTCTCTATATAATAGTTTTGGATATTTACTTTTGATAAAGGCCATACATGTACATGTATTTTATATTGTTTTGGTTTCATGCTTTTTATACGACCGTATATTGGTATGACGTTGGCGTTGTCGTCTTCCGAAGACACATTGGTTTTCACACTCTAACTTTAGTTTAAGTGAATGGATCTCTATGAAATTTTACCATAAGGTTCAATATCACAAAAGGAAGGTTGGGATTGATTTTTGTTTTGGGGTTATAGTACCAACAGTTAAGAAATTGGGGGCAAAAAATAAGCATTTTTGTAACTTCCAGACATAACTTGTGTGTTAGTGTATGGATCTCTCTGACATTGTACCACAAGGTTCCATATCACAAAGGGAATGCTGGGATTGATTTTGGGGGTAATTGCCTCAAAATTTTAGGAACTAGGGGCCAAAAAAGGGGCAAAAAACAAGCATTTTTCTAGTTTCATGACAATAACTTGTGTATAAGTGTATGGATCTTTATGAAATTGTACTACAAGGTTCCATATCACAAAGGGAAAGCTGGAATTGAGTTTGGGGTAATTGCCCAAAACGTTTAGGAATAAGGGGCCAAAAATAAGCATTTTTCTAGTTTCCAGACAATAACTTGTGTTCAAGTGTATGGATCTCTCTGAAATTGTACTGCAGACAATAACTTGTGTTCAAGTGTACAGATCTCTCTGAAATTGTACTGCAAGGTACCATACCACAAAGGGAAGGCTGGGATTGATTTTGGGGGTAATTGCCTCAAAATTTTAGGAATTAGGGGCCAAAAAGGGGCAAAAAAACAAGCATTTTTCTAGTTTCAGGACAATAACTTGTGTGTAAGTGTATGGATCTTTATGAAATTGTACTACATAGTTCCATATCACAAAGAGAAAGCTGGGTTTGAGTTTGGGGGTAATTGCCCTAAACGTTTAGGAATTTGGGGCCAAAAAACAAGCATTTTTCTACTTTCCAGACAATAACTTGTGTTCAAGTGTATGGATCTCTCTAAAATTGTACTGCAAGGTACCATACCACAAAGGAAAGGCTGGGATTGAGTTTGGGGGTGATGAATCATAAGGGGGTTAAAAAATTTGAGGGGGGATTTTTTTTCCCTTTTTTTTCTTTAAATTTTCCATTTTATATTGGTTATTTCTGATTTATATATAAAAGCAAATAATAATGATATGGTTTGAATAGGTAAATTAAAATTTTTTAAGTTCTTAGACCACATTCATTCTGTGTCAGAAACCTATGCTGTGTCAAATATTTAATCACAATCCAACTTCAGTGCTTTATCAAGCTTGAATGTTGTGTCCATACTTGCCCCAACTGTTCAGGGTTCGACCTCTTCGGTCGTATTAAGCTGTGCCCAGCAGAGCATTTTATTATGCTTGTGTAATTGGTTGATTTAACATGAAAATGAAAGTTGTCCGCATTGCAGATGTATATAAGTCATGTAAATAAGTGTTTCTCGTTTCTCGTTTTTTATATAGATTAGACCGTTGGTTTTCCTGTTTGAATTGTTTTACACTAGTCCTTTTGGGGCCCATTATAGCTTGCTGTTTGGTGTGAGCCAAGGCTCTGTGTTGAAGGCCATACTCTGACCTATAATTGTTAACTTTTTATATGAACGCAAAAAATAAAATTTTTTTTGTCGTATATTGGTATCAAGTTGTCGTCGTCAGCGTCATCCGAAGACAGATGGTTTCCGGATAATAATAGAAATCAATAAAATTTTAACACAAGGTTTATAACCACTAAAGGAAGATTGGGATTGATTTTGGGGGTTATGGTCCCAACTGTTTAGGAATTAGGGGCCAAAAAAGGGGCCCAAATAAGCATTTTTGTAGTTTCCAGACAATAACTTGTGTTAAAGTGTATGAATCTCTCTGAAATTATACCACAAGTTTCCATACTACAAAGGGATGGTTAGGATTGACTTTTGGGGGTTATGGCTCAAACCATTTAGAATTAGGGGCAAAAAAGGGGAAAAACAAGGGTTTTTCTGGTTAAAGGACAATTGAGACAATTTAGAAGCAGTGTAAGGGAGGTAATCCAAATCAAAATCCAAATCAATTTAAATAACAATGTTTGATTACCTTCCTTACACTGCTTGTAAATTATGTATTTAGAAATGATGATTGTCTGAGATACTGACCATAACTTGAGGGAAAGAATTATTTTTTTTTAAAAACGGGAAAGGGGGGAGGTGAAAAAAATTGGAGGGGGACAATTTTTCTCATTTCAGATTTCAGAAATTAAAAGAAAATTTCTTCAAATAATTTTTTTTGGGGGGTTAATATTCAACAGCATAGTGTATTGCACAAACGCAAAAAAACGGGGTAAAATTTTTTTTTTGTGGGGGTCAATTCGCATAGTGTATTGCACAAAAGCAAAAAATTGAATATAAATTCAAATCATATAACCAATTTGAAGTTCTTTGACTACAGTTATTTTGTGTCAGAAACCTATTATGTGTCAAAAATTTAATTACAATCCAAATTCAGACATGTATCAAGCGTGAATATTGTGTCCATTTTGGCCCCAACTTTTCAGGGTTGGACATCTGCGGTCGTATCCAGCTGCACTCAGCGAAGCAATTTATTATACATAGTGACTTGGATGGAGAGTTGTCTCATTGGTACTCATACCACATCTTCTTATTTATATTAATTTAGAAAACATTATTACTTGCAGATTATTAGATTATTATGATGATACTGAGGTGTCACTGCTAGCATGAAGATCCTTCTGAAAACTTTACAACACATTTCATCACGACTACATGTGGCTCACAGCGTCATTGTCTGCAGAAGAAATATTTCATCATCTGGCTCATGGACCTTACATGCACTTAAAAGCCGTGGACTGATCCAGCTGTCTGGGACAGATGTCAACCCTTTCCTGCAAGGCCTTGTCACAAATGATGTCACAGTACTGGGTCCTAAATGTACCTCATTGCATGCTATGCTTCTTAATGTTCAGGTATATAACAGAATGAGATATGTTTTTGGTTATAAAATAAAAACATAGAACATGGCGAGGGTCAGTTCTACATATTCAAAAAACATTTCAAGGTATTTTATTTGAACAGAATCATCATATCAAAGTAAACTTGAAATATAAGGGTAGCATATGTTTTGTGAGTCATAGTGCCTTGACATGAACATATTGTACTTCTTTCGGTACATTAGATGTCATATATTTCCCGTCGATAAACAGCAGGTATAATTCCCACAACATGGAACGGGAGACAGGTTTAGTTAACTAAAACAAACATATGCATTTAAAGAGATTTGGGGTATTCATCAATGTGACAGCAATCCAACAACACTCTAAAAACAAAAATACACTTAGAATTCTGGTTTCCTGTGGAAAAAGAACATTAATCCAAGAATATATTATCTTTTTTTGCAGGGAAGAGTGATGTATGATCTACTTTTATACCATAAAGTATTAGAAGACAATCCAAGTGTAATAGTGGAACACGACAGAAGGATAACAACAGATCTTATAAAAACATTAAAAAGATATAGGATAAGGAAAAAGGTAGGTAAAATGATTTAACCCTAGTTAATGATATTGCTCTGGTTTGATTTGGATTTAATGTTTTAAATTATTGGAGAAAGTTTCATGTAACCTCATCAGTGATTTGGTGGAAGTGTGCTTGCCAAGAGTGCTGGAGAAATTATAGAAATTGAGTTTGATCCCTGACCAGGTTAAGCCAAGAACTTGATAATTTATATCGCTACTTTTCCAGTAAGCACATGATATTCAGGAATAAGAGAAAAGACAGGTCAGCTTGGAATCAAACTTATGTGTCCTAGCCTTTTGATCATTTAACTTGACTCAGTACTTGGAGTACGAAATTTGTGCTTGAAACACCAAATTATTTATTTTGATTGGTTGATGTCTTAATCTGAGTACTATTCATGCTATTAGTCATGTAAGTAGAGTGACAGTTTTCCTGCAGATTGTTACTTTGTGAATTAGCTTAGCTAAAACATTTTACTCAGTGTTTCGGTCTAATACAAAGCATGGTTTATATCCTTTTAATTAATATGTTCTCGTCCTGATAGCATGTAATATTTGCCACGGGACAAACACCAATCCTTCACCACATGGTTAAATGTAGTTGTCTGGTTTATACATAATTTAGTAAAGACACATTTTTTGTTGTACAGTTACATACAACTGTAACCACAATTTAAATCTGAATTCAATTGTATTTTAGCTACATGTACTAAAAAAACAGTCCTGAAACATTATTTAAGCACTAAAAAGTGAGTCTATACAGTATGGGTTTTGGTCATTGTTGAAGGATGTATGGGTTTTACTCTTTGTTGAAGGATATATGGTGACGAATACCTGCTCACATTCACATCGTTTGCTCTTATTTTCAATTATACTAATTTTGTTATCTTTATAAAATTACTTTAGGTGGTGAATTTTTGAAGTGAATATTACTGTTTGTTGTTTACTCATCCAGAAATGCCATAATGTATTTTACAAATGTTAGAAATGACAAACCAACAATCCCCCTGTTTCACTATGGAGCAGTCAACACCAGACAGCAAGACTTTTCACTGTGTGCTGTACTTAATGAAAGTTGGTGTTCAAAAATTATATTTTCTTTATTTACAGGTGAATATATTGGATATAAGTGATGACCTGCAGGTTTTTGCAGCACTGCCCCCTGGTGATGAATCATGTGAAACTGACCTTTCATTGGAACATAAATCTCTATACCTTTCTTGTGAAGATCCAAGAATCAACACTTTTGGAAGGAGAATTGTGGCACCTAGTGAAGACAATATGATGAAATGTATGTTGTTTTTAAACAGTGTTTTCAGTAGTTTAAAAAATCTTTTTCTGGAAAAACACTTTGTTCACTAAGATTTAGGTGCCTGTGACCTTAAAAAGAAACAAAGTAACCAAAATCAGGTGCCTTTTATCCTATAAAGTCATGACTGATTTGGCTTAACCAGAAATAAGATGGCAAAGAATAGGCAGGAAGTTGCTTTTCAACCTGTTTTCAGGGTGTTTAAATGTGCATGAGGATTTAATAGCCTAATTATCCTTATGGCTGCCAAAAAATCTGAAATATTTGTCACTGTCAAAAGACAGATGACAGTTAGCTGCTTCTATAGATCCCTGGCCACATGTCACATATAAATATGTATGTTTCTAAAAAAAAACTTAAACACATCTATAGATTGTTTTTGTCTGCTGTCAAAACATTTGTTCTTCCCAAAGACACTTGTACTTCTACAAAATATCTATAATAAATTTGTTTTGCTTAGTATTTGTACTTGCAGTGTTGACTATTCAACAAAAGTACCTATATAATAGAAAAACAAAGGATATGGGGTATTCATCCATGACACAAAATCAGTACATGCACAGCAAAACACACACAAAAAAATGGAAAGGAACAGAGCTTTTATTGCTGTTCTTCATCTCAAAGTCACAGTGAGGCCTAACAAGGAGCAAAACAACTCTCACCTCACTTATATACTTATATTCAGGATTGCAGTAAGAGTCGGACATAACAAAAAGTTCCTGCAAAAATAAGATGAGTACTTAATATTATAGAGAAGACAGTTCCTTTGTCTGTATTTTAAGTTCCATCAAAATCAGAGATAGTTCTTTTGTCAATATTTTCAGCTGTTCGTCAAGGACCAGAGTTAGTTGTCTTGTCTATATTTGCAGGTGTCCATCAAATATCAGAGTTAGTTCCCTTGTTTATATTTGCAGGTGTTAATCAAGAATCAGAGATAGTTTCAGTATTTAATTTGCTATTGGTCACCAATGATCTTTGTAAATTCCCTTGTCTTTATTTGCAGGTGTTCATCAAGGATTAGAATTACTTCCCTTGTCTATATTTGCAGATGCCCATTAGGAATCAGAGTTGGTTCCCTTGGCTATGTTTCAGTTGCTCATCAAGAATCAGAGTTAGTTCCCTTGTCTATATTTGCAGATGCCCATTAGGAATCAGAGTTGGTTCCTTTGGCTATGTTTTCAGTTGCTCATCAAGAATCAGAGTTAAGGCCCCTTCTTTACATTTGTAGGTGTCCATCAAGGATCAGAGTTAATTCCCTCCACAGAAGATGAGTACCATGAGAGACGATACATGCTTGGGCTCAGTGAGGGCATCATTGATATACCTCCAGGCAACTGTTTTCCATTAGAGAGTAATTTAGTTTATCTAAATGGAGGTAAAATATTTTGATTTTTCAAAATTATTTAAGCTAGTAATTGATGAGACTGTTGGTCATAATTTTTTGTGAATGAACTGAAATAAGATATTTACATGGTTAATTATGTTCATCTTGAAATTTACTCCAAACCCCAATAATTGTGTCTAACACAAATTAGTATTTTTTTTGTAGACATCAATAGATCTTAACTTCTTAAAACATTATTGATAAGGTAAAACTTTTGGTGTGTTTTGGATGTTTCACTATATACACAAATATTTTTTTAAAGTCAATGAAGCATAAAAATATTCCTCCGTATTTGTTTAACTAAATAGGTAAAAAGTTGTTGGAAAATGGTTTTTGGTAGTCTAAAAAAGAGATTTTCCAAGAAGGTAGAAAAGTTTTTATTGTGGTATTATAAATTTGTGCAAAATTGGCCTCACTTTGTTTTAATATCTGAAGTAACAGATTGCAAGAACAGTGTTTCAAAATATTTTAGAATTTGCAATGGAAAATAATATCTATTTAAACATTTGAATCCCCTTAGATATAAATAGAAAAAATGAAAATAACATTCAGTAGACAACCATTTAACCATATTAATGTTATACGGCTTAAAAAACAACATATTATAGATAATCACTTAATCTTACCAGAAGTCTTGATCATTAATCAGATATTGAATGATCAATGGTGTTTTTAAATGCAGTGTAAAACTATTTTTTTCAGTGTGTTTCCATAAAGGCTGTTACATTGGTCAAGAACTGACAGCGCGTACATTTCATACAGGAGTAACAAGGAAACGTCTTATGCCATTAAAATTTGAAAGGTAAGTTGTCTCTGGTCACAAAATCAAGTTTAGGATGATACTAATAACAGATTGTTGCATAATTTCATATACTATTGATTTATTTATTTTTGTTGGTACCAATTTTTGTGGATTAAAAAAAAATTGTGTTTTTGGGGATATTTGATTTTGGTGTTTTGCCAAAGTCTGTATACAAACCTATTGAAAATTTGTACTCCGTTAAATATTCTAAAACATGGTTCACCTTAACCCATGGAAAATTGGTATCCCACGAAAAATACTGATTCCTCATTAATTTTTATTATACCCCACAGAACAAAGTTCCGTAGGGTATAATGTTTTTGACCGGTCCGTCCGTCAGTCCTGTTCTTATCATCACAACTCCTCTGAAACCACAAAACAGAATTTCATGAAACTTTGTAGATAATAAGAACATACTGTGTAGATGTGCATATCAACAGGAAATTATGATTCAATTTTTTTTTAGGAGTTATGCCCCTTCGAACTCAGAATTTTGCCTAAATATACTACTGCAACAGTTTGTCATCGCAACTCCTCTGAATTCACTGAACAGAATTTCATGAAACTTTGTAGATAATTAGGACATACTATGTAGACTTGCATATCGACAGGAAATCATGATTCAATTTATTTTCTAGGAGTTATGCCCCTTTGAACTTAGAATTTTGCCTAAGTATACTACTGCATCAGTTTGTCATTGCAACTCCTCTGAAACCACACGACAAAAAAAATCATGAAACTTTATAGATAATAAGGACATAATATGTAGATGTGCATATCCACAGGAAATTCTTATCAGTTGACTTTTGTATGAGTTATGAGTCTTTGAACTTAAGAATCTGTTTAGATTATGTTTGCCCAGTGACAATGTGGGGCTATGGGGTATGTGAGCGTGCTCACAAAGGTTCTTTAATATTTTCTGATTTTCATTTGATTTAAGCTAAACAGTGCACTGAATAGATAACATTACATTATTTAAAACAATGCACTAGATTTAATATCTTGGGACATTTTGCCTCAGGGAAGCAATTGTGTTTTTATTAAAATTGTCCTCTATAAAAATAAGCCACCTTTAAAAAAAGGGGGGGGGGGGGGTTTCCAGCACATACAAGTCATTTAAAAAAGGTTGTTCCAACCATGTTCTGACGACCGGAACACCCCCTTGGATCCACCACTGAAACAGTGACCTTTGGGAGGGAGTAAAAAATCTGAAAAGTGTAGATAAGCACCAGTCAATTTCTCTACCAATAAAACTAAAAAATCATCCCTTTATTTTCAGTGTACCCACTGGTTTGTCAGCAGGTGATAACATTGTAAATGAGAAAGGAAAGTCTATTGGGAAGTTCCGTAATTGTGCTGGAAAACATGGACTTGGTTTACTTAGAGTGGCTGAAATCAAAGGAACTATTTCAGTAACAAATACAGATGGACAAATTTATAATGTGCAAGCTATGCCACCAGAATGGTGGCCAAAAGATGAAGACAAAGGATATTTATGATGTCTATATGAGTATATTAGATCCACATTTTAATTATTGGTAAATAGTGAAGTCGTGAAGTATTTATGATGTCTGCATGTGGATGAATTATTTGTTGTTTTACAATTCTGTAATAAAATTGTTTTGTATTGTTATTTGTTTTCAAATTAATGAAACCACAAAATAATAGGTCTCCAAGCCTTATTTGCAGAGGGCCAAGTGAGCTTTTCTCATCACTTGGTGTCCTCTGTTGTCCATTAACTTTTACAAAAAACTTCTCCTCTGAAACTATTAGGCCAATTGGAACCAAACTTGGCCACAATCATCATTGGGGTATTTAGTTAAAAAAATATGTCTGATGACCCCGCCTGCCTACCAACATGGCTGACATGGCTAAAAATAGAACAAAGGGGTAAAATGCAATGTTTGGCTATTATTTTGAAAAGCGTTGAAGATAGAGAAAATCTGATGTTTTAAAAATGTTCAAAATAATGAGATCTACCTTATGGCTAATGATATCAAAACTGTCAGACGACTTTTTATAGGAGATATTGCCCTTAAACAACAAATTTTACCAATGTTATTCATTTTTGCCCATTATCTCTTAAAAATTAAAATAGATAAAACGAAACGTTAAATGACAAAAATGATCAGCAAGACAAGACCTACAAATAAGTCATCATGATCGAAATTTTTAGTCGACACCTTATTGAAGTTATTGCCCTTTAATGACAATTTTTGGCTTTGGGGCATTATGTTTTTTGGTATCTGCATCTGTTCGTTCGTTCGTACTTCCATTCGTTCATCTGTCTTTCCCGCTTCAGGTTAAAGTTTTTGGTCAAGGTAGTTTTTGATGAAGTTTAAGTCCAATCAACTTGAAACTTAGTACATATGTTCCCTATGATATGATCTTTCTAATTTTAATGGCAAATTAGAGTTTTGACCCCAATTTCACGGTCCACTGAACATAGAAAATGATAGTGAGAGTGGGGCATCCGTGTACTATGGACACATTCTTGTTGCTTATTATCTTGAAAACTATAATAGATAGATAGAAATTTTTAATATCAAAAAATTATCAGCAAGACAAGATCTACAAATAAGTCATACTACCGAAGTCGTTGGTCGACTCCTTATTGAAGTTATTGCCTTTAAGCGACGATTTTCCCAATTTTTCATTTTTGCCTATTATCTTGAAAATTATAATAGATAGATAGAAACTTAAAAAAAAAATGATCAGCAAGATAAGATCTACAAATAAGCCATCATGGTCGAAATCTTCAGTTGACTTTTTATTTGAATTATTGTCCTTTTATGATACGGTAATTTTACCATTTTTTGGGGCGTTTTTTGCCTATTATCTTGAAAACTATAATAGGTAGATAGAAACTTTAAAAAAGGAAAAAATTATCTACAAATACGTCAACATGACTGAAATTGTAAGTTAACTCTTAATACAGTTATTCTCCTTTAATGATGATTTTTACTAAAAAGTGGCAATTGTTGAAGATGCAAGTGAGCGACACTGGCTCTTTAGAGTCTCTAGTTTTTTTTTGAAGACGTAGAATTCCCCTTCTCAAGAAATATTTATTTACATAAATGGTTAAAAAGATCCATAGACATGCAGAAATGTCTTGCCTGCATGATTGGTCATTACAGAATGACATTTTGAAAGTCTAGAATAACAAGATCAAACTCCATGTTTCAAACTTGTCAGAGTTCATTGCAATTACAGCAGACTACAAATTTTAAAAAAGTCCATGTGAATTAATAAACCACGAAAATGAGGTCAAGGTCAAATGGTCTCATCAGATATACATTTAAACCTTACAATGATTTTTTAAATGAAATACTGGACCAAAAAATGAAAAATTAACCTTGATTAATCACCAATGAAAATGTAGTTAAGGTTAAGTAAACCCTGTCATACAGACAAAGTATAGTCAACCAAAGCTACAAATGTACCTGATAATTATGAGCCTCCTCTTGGGGTTTTTGATTATGTGATTTCTTGGCCGTTTTTAGAGTGATTATTTGATTACCAGACGAAATATTTCATGATTATTAGCTTATTTGATAATCTAGGACTATATTTTTGAATATTTGATTATCTTGTTTAAAAAAATAATTAATGATTATGTGATTATATTGGCAAAAAATTTGTGATTATGTGATTACTTGGACACCCCATCAATATCATTGACATGTAGGACATCATATCTTAAGCTCGTTTAGTACTTTGAGCATGTTTTGAATAACTGCTAGCATTCTTCAATACATTATAAATTATTTGTTTTGTTTTTTGTGTTTTTGTTATCTGTTATATTGTTATTTTAGAGTTAAGTGTTTTCCTGTACCGGTTTTTATTGTATGTTCTTTCATATACGTTTTATTAATCTGCTGATCATGCTGATCATGATTAAAAAGATGGAGGATTGAGATATCAAAATTTCTAGTTTCATATACTGTCGTACTTTCATGTGCCTTGTTAGCAGTCATTATTTATTGCAAATCTTTGATTGTTTCTGTAAATTTATTCACAACACTTCTGATCATAGACTCATGAAGATTTATAACTTGACATTATGTAAAGGCTGCTTATTGATGAAGATGTATGTTTCTCTCTAGATGTCTTTTGATTACTGTAAACCAACAAATTTTCGCGACTTTCGCGAGTAGGAAAATAACGCGAATATAAATCGTCTCGAATGTGTATAAATCATATTATTTCTTATTCATTTACTTCAAGAAAATTTGAAAATCGTGAAATTAAATTGCCGCACAGTAGGAGAGAAATGGCTAAACGTGAAAAAAAGTATCCACGAAAATAAGTTGGTTTAAAGTATTGTTGTCAATAGCTCACTGTTTCATTGTGTATACCCACATTTACTTTTACTGTAAATTGAGAAATTATTGCATGCATTTATTTTTGCGATTTTTGAAAAATGGACGAAAATGCAAGATCAATTATTGCGATAGCAGGAAAATCTGCATAAAGGTATATGTATCTGTTATCAGAATGCAAGTTCTTTTTATTGTGATACTCACTCAGTCGCATTATTCGCATTAATAAAAACCTCCCAATAATTTATGATTACACATTAATCATACTAGATTAATAAGAAAACAGTTTTGAATGGATTATGAAAATGAAGTCATGGTCAAGGTGCCCCTGTAAGAAAAACCTGAGCACCTTACAGTGGTACTGTAACCTGATGTTTGGTTGTTTGGTTGACCTCTACCTCTAGTAATTAAATCGTCCTCAATATGCATGACAGGGGCGGATCCAGCCATTTTTAAAAGGGAGGGTTCCAACGATATGTCCCCATTCAAACGCATTGATCGTCAAAAAAAGGGGGTTCCAACCCCCGGACCCCCCTGGATCCGCCACTGCATGACATATTTGCCACTTGATATTAAGCAAGCAACAATCAATCAATTTAGAATTCAGACTGGCCTAATCACAAAAACCATATATTGCTGATGAATGAAGCATGACAATATTGAATGGTTGGGATCATGTGATGTTGTTATTGTCTGTCTGGCGGCCATCTTAGATGATGGGTGGAATTGGTATTTAAGATATAGAAGGAAGATCATCAAAGGAAAAGCTAGGTTTCAGTTGTCTAAAGTGTTTGAATAAAGACTTGAAAACCAATTCTGAAAATTAAATTGATGGATTTGGCTGTGTTTACACTTTTGTGAGACCACACAAAGATCTTTCCACTAAATTTTGGTTCCAAATGAAATGTTTCAATTTGTAAAAAGAAATGAAAGGAATCAAAAGAGTGTAGGGTGTTTATCAATGAGTAAACAATTTTACAACGAAAAACAAACCATACAACATCAAGAGGTCAACAAATAGACTTCAGTATCTTGACAATATTTGTCGAACTTAAATTGCCTTAATTCTAGAAAAGTTTTAATAAATTAAGCTACAACTCTCAAGATCCTTAAAAACAAACAAACCAATCAGAGGCTCTAGTAGCTGTAGGATGATATTGAGAGAAAACCACCCATAGACTATTCCACCAAATATGAGTTCAGGTGGAGAAATTGTTCGAAGAGGACAAAATGTTTAGAAAGGTACACACATTGAAAGCAATACTTGCATTTGCCTGAAAAGACAATCCTTAAATTGCATTTTTAAGAGTTTACAGCAGTAGGACATTCCACCTTTCTTACAGCTATATCTGTATGCCTGAAATTAGTATTACATTTATGTCATACCTCATGTCAATGCTCAACATTGTCATAACAGACTTTCCAGCAACTCAGGATCAACATATATTTGTTCCCCTTAACAGATTTGTCTAAAACTTATTACACCAGCTATAATATATTTTCCTGTTGGAACAGAAATTAAACACCCTTTTTTCCGTAAGAAACAAATTTTGTAATAGTTCTTCCATCTGGGATTGATATACCAAAGGAATTTAAACATGACAAGCGAGTGCGGTCTTGTTACATTCACAAAAAGCAATGTTTTAAAAAGGAGACATGGGGTAAACGTCAACAATACAGCTACCCAACGACAAAAATAACCCAAAGACATACAGAGGGCAATATGTACAAAATTCCAATCTCTAAATTGTCCCGAGTTTTGAATACATTAGACATTCAAAGAAAGTTCTGCCATCAAAACTAAGTTAAATCTCCAAATAACAATATGATATGACATAATACCAGCTCTGCCGAGGTTCCTGACTTGGGACAGCTTCACATTATCTCTTTATTGTCCTTTGTTAGTACTTAAATTGATTGAGAATGGAAACGGGGAATGTGTCAAAGAGAAAAACCCGACCAAAAGGCAAAAAACAGCCCAAGTATCTTAGTATATATACTTTAGACCTGACTTGACCTATAAAAATTACCAGGTGGTAAGGAATAAAACCTATATGGGGATGGTAGGAGCTTGTTATAAAAATCCTATTTATAAATACACACATCATCTGTTTACAATAATAACACATGGTTGTATCTGAATGATAAATTTTTATGTACCTTTGTAACAGAAGTGTTTTTTTTTGTATATTTGTCAGTATAATTAAAATTCCAGTGAATAATAAAAATTAAAAAGTATGAACAATTTACAGTAAATACCTAAATCATAAATAAAAATAATAGAATACAAAAATTTACAGAAAATATTACAGTCAGACAGTACTAAATTTCTCGTGCTGAGATTATTTCTAATAAATTACAAAATCAAATGTCTTGAAAACTGCAGAAAATGAATTTTATTTGAAATATCCTTGGCATCATGTGATTTTGAATAATTGACACTGAAGTAAAGTCTCTATCAACATTTTCATTCCAGTGAAGTGCATTGTATTGGCTATCACCGACCGCAATTCTTTTGTTTTGGTAAATATTTGTAACATTGTTAAAACTTTCAACATAAAATGTATCCCTTCCAAGAACATAGTCCTTTGTATATGTGTATACAGTTGAATTAAGTATTACACAGAGGTTATTACAATTCGTGACGGTTCCTATTTGGCATCAACCTTACACCTGGCACTCTCATGGCAGTCAGTGTGAGTATTCTTATAGTGATCGAGGATATTTAATAAACTCTTCTGCAGTTTCTTTTTATCTTGGTTGCAGTTCTGAATAGCCAAATGCATTTGGGTAGCCACAGGTTCAACCTTGTCCGATAACTGGAATGACCATGTTTTCCCCTCAGAAGATTCAGATCCAGTTGACACCTTCTGATTTTACAGACTTAACACAATGCCAAACATCGTTCTGATTGATTGCTTCTGTATTTTCCTTACGTATTTGTTTATTGATAAATTCCTGTCATGGCAATGAACATTCACTGTTACATCGTTTTCATGTAAATGGTTGAAGATCTTCTCTGTCCCAAATCTTTCATGTCTTTGAGATACAGGGTCCATTGTTTTCGTAACATGTTCACAACTGATAACTTTATGTGTTTTTTCTCCAATGCAAACAACACTTGTATCTTTTGCATTCTTACGCCAGCCGTGTTTGGCATCTGACATAATGTCTATCTTGCTATCAAGTTCTTCATAAGATGCTATCTCTTGTAAAAGTGCTATGTCAGTTGAATATTTATACTCCTCTTCTTGTATGACTGTGAACATTGAAATGATGCACGATTTTCATCACTTATAACCCGTATTCCTGATCCTTGTGCAAATCTCTTGTAGACTGCAGGCAATATTCCACTACATGTAATCCATGATTCACTCTACTATTCACTAAGTAATCCTTTGTGAACAATTAAGGAGAGGAGGACTAAGAAAATACATGAGGTGTCTCTTTATCGTTACATTTTAGGCTTGTTTTGCAAACATGTCCTTTTTTTAGCATTTTTGTAGGTTTAAGTTTTTATTTACAACATCTTGCATGCCAATCAACATCCGATATAAGCCACTTAAATGAATCTTCTGCAGTCAGAAAAATATGTTGGTTTGTGTCTACTTTCTTTGATCTGATAAATGTGGATGGACAGGGTTCCTCTTGAAACTCTTTTGACTGGGTGTTACTGGTATCATTCTCTTCATTTCATTTTTGCAGTAAAGCTTCAATAACCTGCAGGTTTCCCATATGTTTGTTGTTTTTTTTAGTCAACTCTTGTCTAATTGAAGCAAATTTTCCAAAAATGTCATCCTTCTTTTCCTCAGTACCTGACACTTCAATCCGAAAACACGGAGTTCTTTTTCTAGCTGTTTTCTCACTTTCTGACATTTTTCAACAAAGATCATTGACAAAAAATACTATTAGAAATACTATAAGAAAGACTGAGGTGGTAATTTTATCTGAAATATGGATCAATCTATCTAATTTAAGAAGGGGTATATAAGTTATCAAGTCAAATATATATGTAATATATTTTGTTAATAATTTTTGACAAATTTAGGAGATAAACCTTTACGAGCTTTGAAAAGAAAAATTATGATAAAGAATTTTGCTGTTTTGTTTTAAACATGAATCTTTATCATTCTTAAAAAATTTCTCACACCCCTATACTAATGTATCAGTTACAGTTTTAGTATTTGCAGATATGTCCATTCCCGCCAAATATCAATGATAAACAAACAAGTTGCTTTTTAAAAAAAGAGTCAATACGTGAACCTTAGAACTTTTTTTTTATGCTAATTATTATTTCAACTGAATTGTAAATTATATCTCAGTATTTTCATTACCATGTGTGTGGAGGATAATATTTTCTTTTAATTGTAAATCAGGAGAATTATGGCATGTTGAGAGTGGTGTTAAATATAAAGTGAGGAGATAAAGAATGTTTTTATTTCAATAGTTCATTTCTGGATGGTGTTAGCTTTCATTTTTACCAGTGTCAAAGGTCGAACTACTACCAATGGATGACACTTCTAGGGTTTTTATTGGTAGAGGTAATATTTCACCTAGAATCCCTCAGTAATTTATTAACTTTTCTTTTTTAAAAAACATATTTCAGAGCAAGTACGATATTTTGTTTCATAAAATGTGGAAGGTTTATTCCTACCAAATAAGACAAAATCTACTTGCTTACCATTTTATTTTGTGTCATAAATTCCTGTTCCACCTTAGAAATGGGATTGGATCCAGCTAATACATTCAAATATGCTGCTTATACATGTATACTTAATATACCTGTCCCAAATCTGGAGCCTGTTTTTTTTTGTTTGCTTATTATCGTGTCTGTTTTTCGTTTTTTTGTATAAAAATATTGCCATTGATTTATATCTTGTATAACACTGGTCAATTTTAGGTCATTTAGCTAGAAAACTAAAGACTAAGCAACACGGAACCCCACCAAAAACTGGGGGTAATCTCAGGTGCTCTGGAAGGGTAAGCAGATCCTGCTCCACATAGCAGATTCAGAAATTCATATGTTTCCTCCCCTTTTTTCCAATGATAGAAAATTACCATTCACTTATGTTATTTCAGGCATGGATAGAAAAATAGATTTGACAAATATTTAATTGGTTTTAATTGCAACAGTGAAAACTATGGAAATATGATTGGTTTCAGAAACTTTTGATTTATTCAGCATCCGGCTTGAAAATATCTCATCTTCATGATCTTGAAAATCTTGAAAATGTGACCTATTCTTGTAGCTCATTCCTACCACTCATTAAATAGGAAGTGAATTCAAAGTGCACGGTAAAATTAGGGTTGCAGTAAGAATTAGTTTGATCTACTATGGCACATGAAATTAGTTAATATATCGTCATTTGATTATGGTTCATCGCAGTGATACACAGTTACGTCCCCTTATATTTTTCAAGAATTGCATTTTTTTAATAATTTAATAAGGACTGAATTTTGGTTTGTTATTTCTGTGTATAAACTTTAAAAATACAAAGTTCTAACTTCAACAATAAATTATCAAAGTTTACAATCAAATTTATTTTCATTTATGCAAAACTAAAATGTAATAGATACCGCCTAAACAATGATTTTTGTATTAAATCTAGTCCTTGCAACTACTAGAAGTGGAATATAATCATGACTAAAATTAAATATTTTTGAAGACCTAACCAAGACAGGGTTTAACTAAAACAATCCGATAGTAGCTCTCGAATACAACTGCAGTGACTTGTGCTAGCTGATTCCACCCTTACATGGACGCCATCAGGTAATAAATAGTCTCGCAGCGTGACCAAAATGATTTTGTATTCAAAAGGGGATTCAGTGATGACCAGTTGCATTTGTATTTCAATAGTCTGTTAGTAAGTTATCAATTTTCCCAGTGATGTTTCCAATCGGCAATCTGATACTTTATGAGATTATAAAGATACAATAAAATGCCGACAGTGGTACTTACACATAGAAATTATCTATAATGTAAAAATAGTATATCCTACAATAATCAATCGTATATCGGATTACATTTTCACCAACTACTTTAATAATTCGAAAAGGGGAGGGGGCTGTGCATGAGGATTTTCAAAACAAATTTTCTGACCTGTGATGAACTGAAAAAATAATCTTTCCCAGTCAAAATAGGACGAAAATGAATATTCTACCCTACAAAATGTCCCCACCCCGAAAATCAAATGGTTTTTTTCTAACCTTTATATGCACTTTTTTTTCAGCACGCAAATGTAGACAAAACACGTGCATTGAAGTGAGCACATATTTTTTTTTTATATACAGTGTAATATTTCGTATAAAGAGAAAATTAAGGTAACCGAATGACCAAACGATTCGGGCACTTCTTCATACGCTTGTTTTGTAAAATAGTTTTTATTTGTAAAGAATTATGTCCCCTGACTATATAATATCGATCTTCCTATTCCAAAGAAATATCTTGTTAAAGCTGATTGAGGTATGCATTTTGTTTCAATGGTTCTCCGTTTAAAAACGCTAAGCACAAAAGCCAACAAACACATAAACACACGACACTCTAACTTAGTTATCTAGAGTTTGTTTACGTTTATTTCTTTTTATCAACTTTCGTTTTGTATTATTTACCAAATATGTTTAAACATGTTGAACTTGTTACTATATTTATCAATGTATTTCTAACGTGATTGTCGTTCTTTTCTGATTTGATTTGTTGTTGTTGTTAATATGGTTAACATTTAATAATATTAATTTACAATTAAACAAACATAGTTACGAAAAAAGATAACGTTTCATAGTTTATAAGGGGTCGTCCCGCTATTCCGACACCCCATAGAGGCAAATTTAGGGGGAGGTCCGGGGTTCCCGCCCCCTTTATGGAGCTTCATTTAAGGGTAATCCAGACTTTTCACCGGTTCCACTACAAATTTTGTCTAGTTTGGGTGCCCGCGGGCCCCCCTTTTTCAAAATCCTGGATCCGCATCTGTCCCCATTTGTCCGACACCTGTATTTAAACTAGTGTATACTCTCTTCTGAGTATTTTATTTGCATAAACACAAATTGGCTTCGACACAAGTCAAACAGACTTATGAACACTTAGAAAAGACAGCACTCCATGCATCTAGTATGATGTAACAAATACTATGATCCTATAGATATGAGGCAATTGACAACCTTGCAATATTTTGCTTAGGGGACGACCATTTGATATTCTGGTGGGTGCCAGGAGGATTTGTTTTGGATCGGTTATTTATTTTTGTGAATTAGAGGAAGAGATTATCTATTTTCTGCACTGTTGAACATAATTTTTAATTTTCGTTAAAACAAGGGACTGATTATTTATTTTCACAATTATATTTATAATATTTGAAAACACAAAATGTGTAAATTATGTTTTTTATTCCCAAATAGATAATACATGTATAGTCAAATCATTATACCATTTAACATGTTTAATCAGAATTAATCATCATCCTCTGGAAGTGAATCTTCTGAATTCCAAACTGCAATTATTGCATACGTACAAGGTATTAAAGTGGGGCCTGTAACTAAGCCTCTTTTAAAAGTAATGTCAAACATTTTTGCCGAGGCTAAAAAATTCGGCGAATGTTTTTGGGGCCGTTGAAGGCCCCAAGAAGATATAGAAAAATGAAGCAAAATCATGCATTCTTTGCGTTTCCCTGATACTTTCTTAATATGAAACGCAAGTTCTGTTAATTATTTTTTCCTACATTATTTTGGTCTCAAAGCAAAATATATAGATACAGTGTAAGACTTTTAGTTTTTAGGGACAACATCAAAAGACCAATATTTAGGATAAAGCAAAAAGTGTAATTCACAAACTTATGTTTGTGTTTGTTTTTTTTTTTAGTGTTTTGGCTTGCAGAAAATTTTTAATATACCTGTCAATTATGTGTTTTTTCTCAAATTAAGTTAAGAGGGGCTGATTATCATTGATATAACTATATCAAGTAAGTTTTTATAACACATTTAAATTACGACTTGATGTAGTTCCTAACTGAGATACAATTTGAATTACATATAGTTTGTAAAATTAGATAAAAAGTCCTTAAAAAAAATAAAAAATTACTGAATTACAAATTGAATGCACCACTAACAAAATTAAGAAGGGCAATCAATGAACAATAGACAAACCCTGGAACAGATAAAACACAAAACGACAAACATTATAATAGACGAATAACACTGAAAACTAAAATTAAATGAGAAGCATGGATCCCGAAAAACGGGGGCTATGTCAGAGGGTGAACAGAACTTGCTTCTTGCAAGGTATTCGAAGTAAAAACATGTACACAAGCTTTTGTTTTTGAAATTTCCTACATGAGGCATTTGCCTCAATTTAGTTACAGCCCTGTTATGAAAGTCAGGCAAATGTTCCTGAAATAATATACCTCTTGTTAAATGATCCCATTTTCAGACATTTCAAGTACATTAATATATATACATTGTATTATAAAAGATTTGGGAAGTTTTTTCTGAAAAAAATATGAAAAAAGACGAATTTTTGAAGAATCTGGTGCCATTTCATACGTTAGAATAGCTTTTATAAAATGATTTAAAAGACCTGCTGAGTTTTTTATTTTCAATACATTGTAAGTCAGATTATTTATTTTCAAACTACCACAGAACAAACCATTCATTTTTGTTATTATCAAGGCTGAGTTGTTTATTTTCAAAATCCTCCCCCCCCCCCAAGAATATCAAATGGTCGTCCCCTTAATAATACACAGTATGACCAAGCTATTTCACAAAACAATCCGCTAAATATATATATATATAATCTTTATTGCAAAATTACACCCATAAGGGTCTAGGGCATTTGATCATGTTGATTGATTGAGTAGTGTTTGCTTCACGTCCAATGGCAAATATTTTATGCATATCCAGGACGGGAATGCATTTACAACTAATACAATAGGTAAGTCATGTAATATTGACTCGAGAAATTTGGACAGCCACCGGAATATGAGGCTATATTGGAAAGGGACAGAAAATTAGCATTGTAACAGGCAACCTACCGTAACGGATCCCTCATAGAGTTGTTGCAAGGTTTTTAATGTGCAGATAGCGTGGCACTCTCTCTGCACGAGGCATCGGATATAACGTCCCAATTCTGACCAAACAAGCCTGCGTATCTATACATCCTGCATAGCCAAAAGGATGACCCACTTTGCAAGGGAATAGAATTCGAAGAACAGCCTATCGTCGTAAAGAGAAATGCCCAGACCGCGATATACTCTCCAAAACGGTCAAAACTTAAAAGATATCATTTACAATGAAAAGAAACTTATTTTATCCAAGCATGTTGGTTTTCATTTATCTATACTGAACTTGAATTCAAAGATCAAGTATGTAACAGTAAAAAATTGATTTTAACACAAAAGTCCAATAGCCTTATAGTATAATCGTTTGTCATGTCGAGGAAAAATTATGAAATTATTTATATGATAAATCTATTGTATTGCTATTTTTCCCATTTACGTTTTACCAGAACATATTTTGTAAACTCATATACTAGTAGTCAATAGATTCCTTGGATTGTATTACTTGGAAGGGAGGTAAATAAAGCTTCATTATATAAAAATTAGAAGATGTGCTATGATTGCCAATGAGACAACTCTCCACAAGAGACCAAATGACACATAAATTAACAAATATAGGTCACCGTACGGCCTTCAACAATGAGCAAAGCCCATACCGCATAGTCAGCTATAGAAGGCCCCGAAATGACAAATGTAAAACAATTCAAACGAGAAAACTAACGACATAATTTATGTAAAAATAATGAACGAAAAACAAATATGTTACACAACAACAAACGACAACCACCGAACCACAGGCTCTAGTTCCTTTATCTTCTTAGTGCGGCACCTTTAAACTGTGTCTGAGAGAGAGCGTTCTAGAGATATCTAAGTAATTCGACAACTCTTTCCAAAGTAGTTTGTGTTTTGAGTTACGCTGCAGGACTAATGGGGGGTTGGATTATTGAGGTGTCGGGCTAATGTGGTGTCGGAATATCGGGGCTGTCCCGTTTATAATGTACGAGAAGTGCTATTAGAGGTCGGTCAATTTAAAACGTGTCTAACTGTATCAGATACGTTGACGTATACGTATCTAGGGACATACTAAAATAATATAATCACGATTATGACTTAACCCTATGTACTCTTTTTAGAGAATAACGGATACTTTAGAAACTTTAGGGCAACTGATTAATTTACATCTGGTTTATCTTAGATGATCTCAGATCATAGTTCGAACTATAGTCATGATAGTTGCGAATTGTTTCATATGTCGTACTATCCTTGAGTGAAATATCATAGGAAATGTGTAGGAGCTGCACTTACGCGGTACGAGGCACTATGTTTGTACCAAATAAATGTCCAAGTTCAAACATCTCGCATCTGGCACATAACCGATTCGAGTGCACCTTATTTGTAGCCACACAGAATGTAGGAGAGGTTTAAGGCATTTCCAAATGGTACGTTTCTAGATAAATGGTTATGCAAAATTACGAAATGAAGCAAAATCAACTCCTCAAAAAACCATAGCGAAGCTCTTCATACAAATCGTACTCCGGGCAACGCATTTACATCCCAATAAAATTACAAAAAGAAGCATTCAATTCTTAAATATATATATCATTGTATAAAAAGTTTATATAAGTTTATTATTGAAAATAATGAAATATTATACCCCAATGGGGTTGATGGCATAAACGAAAACAAAATAACACTACATAATACATCACAAAAATAATAAAAAAGACATGAATTATATGTTCAAATTATCTTATTGTTTGTCTGAAGTAAATTATCATAGTTTACTCCTTCTGAACCCATTTAATGGAAAATGAACAGTGATGTAGAATGAGAAAATTATCGGACCAATACAACCATTCAAATAATGCAATACTATGTATTATATCTTCATAGCACAATGAGTATGTTAAAATCATTTAGCTTTCCTATATGTATTACTAGTATACAAATTCTAATGGTAACAAACATAGTAATTAAACGGGGTAGGGTTTAGATGTCGAAAAACTTATAAAACCCCTCCCCATACTTCATGTGTCTGTCATAAGTCAGGACGTCGTCAGTGGTTATTTGATGATTGATTGATTGATTGGTGTGGTGTTGAATGCCTCTTTCAGCAATGTTGGCTATTCAGTGGCGGTCAGGCGGCTTCGGTAGGAAAACTGACAATCCTAGTCAATTATCATTGGAGTCGAACGCACCTGCCACGTGCGGGACTAGAACTCACAACCTCAGTGTTGGTTGGCTAGTGATACAGTAGTTGGAACTACTAGTACGTAGACCACTCGCCCACCGAGGCCCCGTGGTTGTTGGATGTTTATGTCATATCTCGGTTTATTTGTTGTTTGAAGAATTTGGTGTTGATGGCCACTGAACGTTAAGTCAACATCAATCAATTCTCGATTTTTAGGACATGGACCTTTCACTACACACAAAGGAATAAACGTATACTAAGGGGACAGTCGAAAGCATAAGACACAGAAGACACGAAAGTACAGATAAAAAAGACGCAACGAAACAAAAGGAGATGAAAAGGCATTGAGCAGTGACAGTTCATAAGTTAAGTTTTTTTCTTCAATTTCTATAAACGCAAAAAAAATAATTAAAGTTTGTAAATGTATATTTCACCTTCCAAACCTCGCAATTTCCTACTAAAATAACTAGGATATTACGATTTAGGGCGTTGAATAAAAACACGAATGGTAGATTAGGGAAGAGAAATAAGGTCAAATAGTCGTCGCTCGTCAGGGAGAAAGACTTATACGAAGGCCTTGGGCATTCATTTGGCTGACAGCCTGGGTGTATAAATTCACTGCCATGTCCGATTTGAATGAGGACGTTAAACTCGTGTATAGGGAGTGTGCCTCGCTATCTGCACTTCAATAATCATTGCATCAACTATTTGAGGGAACCATAAAATCAGGACCTTTTTCGAGCGGCAATCGAAATTTCGGGCATTTCATTCCGGTCCATTTACTTTTACAGAGCCTAGTCTGTTCATGTATTTATTAATTTGTTCTCGTCATAAATATGCTTGAAATTTTTGCCAATGGACGTAAATTACAATAAAAAAAGAAATTAGAAACGCATGTTTCAGGAAAGTGATTAATTTCAAATGACAGTTCAAATATTGTATTTTTATGTACAACCAACCTCTTTCGTTGCTTTAAATTTGTTGGTTTTAAGCCTTCCCGATGAACGTAGATCCAGAAAAGCGACTCAGACGCATGATAAACTGATAGTCCCGGAGGGTATATGAGCTTAGTAGTCAACCGTGCTTAACCACTGACATGATTTATATAGTATAACATCACTTAAATTTTCTGTTGATTTATTTAAAAATTATAAAGAAACTTAATTTCCAGCTCCTCCAGGGAAAGATGACCGTAGATGGTTTATGCTATTCATTTTTAGTCCTTCTTGGTCTCTTTGGTCATAAAGCCCCTGAGATATCTATACTTTCCTGGATTTCAAATTGAAGATTTTTTTAGCATTCCTGCAGAAAAGCGCTTTAGACGCAATAACTTTATGAAATGTAATGTTTATCTCACACATATGTTGCAGGATCATGGCCAGTAATTAGAGTCTTTGTGATATCTGTGATAATGATAAGATTACTAAATCCTCAGTAGTTTGGTGTTCCGAATGTGATGAAGGATTATGTGGAGATTGTAAAGAACATCACAATTTTTCAAAGGGAACACAAAACCATAAAACAGTTTCCATTGGCGAATACAAGTTACCGACCGAAGTCCTGCAAATTTCCAAGGTTTGCACAAAACATAATGAGAAATACGAGCTTTTCTGTAGAAAACACGATTGTCCATGCTGTAAGAAATGTGTGAAGTCTCACAACGATTGTAAAAGTTTAACCGACATTAATGAAATCATAAAAAACGTCAAAACTTCCAACGCCTTTTACGAAATCGAACAAACCCTGCTGGAAGTTGTCGAGAATATTAAACGAATAAGTACTAACCGGGATGACAATTTAGTATACCTAGAAAACAAGAAAAGAGAAATTGAGGCAGAAATAAAACAAACCAGGACAAAGATGAATCGTTACCTTGATAAACTTCAGTATGATTTGATGAAAGAATTAATGGCAACAGAACAAGAAGAAAGTAACAAAATTCGACAATTGTTGACAACTCTGACAAAGAAGGAACAAGAGATCAAAAAATTTCAAACAAACTTTGCTCATATAAAACAGTATGCATCGGAGCTTCAAACTTTTTTGTCCATGAAACAACTCGAAAAAGATATTGCAGTCGAAGAAGCATTTATTCAATCTCTCACCAAAAGTGACACCACGAATCAAGTCAATATTTCATTCCGAATTAACAAGTCTTTACAGGAAATTACAGCCAGCGTGCAGAGGTTTGGAGATATCAATGTCAGTTCTGATCAATGCTATTTGTCCATTCAGAAACGGAAGGACAAACAAGCCCAGATTATGGTAGTAGCTCTTCCAACCAGAAATATCGATAACCTGACTCTGACATTACAGAAACATATCAATACAATGATGTCAAATGTCAAAGGTTGTTGTATGCTCCCTGATGGTAGAATGTTTTTTTCCTGTTATTCCCAAAGCAAAATAAGAGTATTCAAATCGGACGGATCAGAAGATTTTCAAATAAATAATATCGGTGATACGTTTGATGTGGTATTTATTGGTGATGATTCTATTGCTGTTACATCTGGCGAATCATGTAACATTAATATACTAGTAATCGACTTAAATAAGCACAAACTGAAGAGAACAATAAAAGTAAAGTCAGGCAATGATGGAATGGCATTCAAAGATGGACATTTGATTTATTGTTCCAGGAAGAAAGGACTTAAGATGATTAGTCTTAGTGATGAATCCATTACCAATATTACCAATAAAAAAATTCCTTACCAGGCGCACGTTACAACATTCGGTGATAAACTGTTCTATACAAACGATATCAAACACAGAGTAACCTGTTGTGATTACCATGGTAACATACTGTGGACGTTCAGTGATACAAGTGTTCTTCGTGAACCATGCGGTATCTCTGTAGACAGTAAGGGTAATGTGTTTGTAGTTGGATATCGTTCTGGCAATGTGATTGTCATTTCTCCTGATGGACAACACCACCAACAACTTTTATCTCGTGAAGATGGACTTGAATACCCACAGGGTCTGCACTATGACACATCTACCAATACATTATTAGTGGCAAATTACAATTATGTCGCGGTCGTGTATAATGTTAAATGATTACATATTTTAGTATCAAACTTACATAACAAAAAATTGCATTGTTATAGACAACTGACTAGATTTAAAATGAATAATTTGTTTTGATCTGATCCCGTTCTTTGAAGGGAAATTTATTTGCTATTATTCATATAAATCTTCTTCTGTGATGAAAATTATAATATTCTAGATATAATCACTGGAACTGTGATGAAATCATTAAAAAAATAAGATTTTTCTCCATGGAAACATGTGTGTTGCTGTATTAATCAGACCTTTGGTTTTCTCTTTTTTTAATTGTTTAACATTTTATCATACATGGGCCTTTTATAGCTAACTATACAGTATGGCTTAAGCTCATTGTTGAAGGCCTTACGGTGAGCGGTATGCAGTCACTTATGTATCCTTTGGTCTATGAAATTGACAGTAACAGTGTAATCTGTTGTTATTACCAATCGTCCAAAAAATGTTTCGCCTCGCTACGCTAGTCTAATGAATCAAGCCCTTTCCAACTGATTTTTACAATTTGTTCATATGTTGTGCTGTTACACCACTGTCCCAGGTTAGGGGAGGGTTGAGCGCTCACAAACTTGTTTTACCATGCCATATTCTATATGTGCCTGTCCCATATCAGAAGCCTGTCATTCATAGGTTGTCGTTGGTTGCTGTCTGTCATATTTGTTTTTCGTATATTATTTTGTCATAAATCAGGCCGTTGGTTTTATTTTCGTTTAAATTAAATCACATTTTGTCATGTCGGGGCCTTTTATCACTGACTATACGGTATGGTTTTTACTCACTTTTGCTGGCCGTACGGTGACCCAATAGTTGCTTAAATCCGCTTCATTTGGAATCTGTTGGATAGTTGTCTCATTTGCAATCATACCACATCTCCCTATCTTATATAATATGATCTTTTATCATTATTTCCATATAAGCAAATGTCAGCTTGTGATAGGTATGAAAAATAACATTTTAACAGTTAAGTCAGGAATAACATGATAATATTTTGAAAACTTGAGGTGACCTGGTTACTAAAGCTTGTAAACAGGAAAAAAGGGGGAGTTGCGTTGTTTAATTACTTCCAGTGAAAGTTAATTTCTTATATGCAATGAAAAGTTGTGTGAAATTGTCACTGTAGTATTAAACAGGATAAAAATTTATTCTTGCCAAGTATTTCATTATTTGAAACAAAGGTAAATTCTGAACAATTTTTTGAAAAATGCCAATTTAACAATGACTAATACGGGAAAAAACAATGGTGGTATTACCCCTATTTAGGAAATATGCACATGCACCTTTGACCTTTATGTACTTTTGAAATTTTATGCTATTTTACCTGATTAATTATTGCAAAAATTGAATATTCTAAGTGGATTGAGTCTCAAAAATACATTTGAAGGAAAGTTGCCTTGTAATAGGGCTATACCATGAATGATCTGTCATATTTATAGACAGAACAGTCATATTCAGTGTTTTGGGGATTTTTTCTGACTCTTCCTCCCTATTTCCTATATTTTCTATAAAAGTAAATATTTTCCTCAGTAAATCTTTAAGAAATATAAGTAATAAGTAAAGAAATGATTTCTAAAGCACATACAATAAATTATTCACTAAAAGGGAACCATTATGTGTCCTTCTCTGGAACGAGGCGTAAACTTAGATTTTACGTAAGGACTTATGGAAACCTCAACGAATTCAGTTAACTTTCAAAGAGGTAGTTCATTCAGCTTGTACACTTCAATAACTCATTTATTATCACATTTCTAATAAATATGTGTGATAGTTACTCCAAAATTTGATTTATGAGCCTAAAAAGTTAAAATTTTGAGGGATGAAGAAGTATAAATGGACAAAAAAGGACATTATAATGAAGACAGAGAGGTGCCTTAAAGATGTTAATCATCCAAATTTTAAAATAAAAAAAATACCGAACTCCAAGTCAAATTCAAAACGGAAATTCCTTTATCAAATGGCAAAATCAAAAGCTCAAACACATCAAACGAATGGAAAACAACTGTTATATTCCTGACTTCCAACATACATTTCCGTATTTAGAAAATGGTGGAGAGTCTTCTTTTGTATCTAATCCAATTCGATTAACATTTGATCATTTATTGGTCAACACTTTTTATGATGATGCCGCGTGATTTGGATTTTTCGGAGAAATTCTACTCAAATCGTCTAACATTAAATTAATGTTCTCTTAAACTATTAAACTGATTATGACAAAACTTGACATTAAAAAATGCTTGAAATAACCAGTATTTCAAAGGTAAAAAATCACAATCAGATGTTATAACATTTATGTCTTCTTTAAACAATTTTGATAATGCTGTATTTATTCATTTCATAAAAAAGTGTTTTTGTATAGATTGTTTTGTAAAAATAAAAAAAATCAGATTTAATGATCCCGAGCGATTCTTTATTGTTCTTTTCCCTTTAAAAAATCCGGACTAGTTTTGAGAAAAAAAATCCGGACCATGTAAAAAGCTTTATTTTTAAGAGAAATATAAGGACATTTTGGGTTGCTTGTACTGAAAACTTTTATATCATTGAAAATAAGTTAGGCAATCATGAATAAAATTGATACACTAGCAAAATAGGAGTAAATCGATTTGATCGCAAGATATCCAACTCGATAAAATCTGTTCTATACTCTGAAAAAGCGGACCGATCACTCTAAAAAAAACCAAACTTGACACTATACCTACCGTGTCATTTTTGCAGTATTAAATATGCCGTTGGATTTCTTTATTTCGCTTTTTGTCACGCCGGGGCCTTTCATAGCTTACTATACGGTATGGGTTTTGTCCATTGTTGAAGACTGTACGATTAGTTACTTGTCATTGTCCACATTTTGTCCTTTTCTCTTTATGGACAGTTGCCTCATTTACAACCATATCACCTCTGTATTTTATATAAACAATCACACATTTAGATTTGAATATTATATACAAGCAAAACAACTAAAAATCCCTGTCTTCAGATCCAAAATAGGAGAAGTTTGCAGTTGGATCAACTCTGAGACAAGTATCAGATCAACTTTGAGGCGTTCAAAAGCGAATGTAGAGTGAAAACAAAAAGGACAAGTCAATAAGGCTTCAGTCAAATGTTAAAAGTCAATAAATAACAAAAGACGGTCTTTTTTGTCGGAGTTGTGGGAGGGGGGGATGGTGTGCTTTCATTTCTGTATTCAGTTTTTTTTTACTGATTTTTCTATTTGTTTTATTTCATCATTCTCTTTTCTTTATATTTTTATTCTCACCCCCTTTATTCTCCCATTATTGCCGCTTGACGTTAAACAAGCAAGAATGTGTCTTTTCATCCCCCCCCCCCCCCCCCCCATTATTCTCAATATGATTAAATTCATATCTATCATATACTCGCTTACTCGTCGAATATAAGCATAACGAAATCAAAGATCTATATTTTAATCAGATTGCATTTTTCTTTGTTGTTTATTATTTCCATTTATTCTTTATTCACTAAACCCAATCCATAGAATATTAAACAATGCAAATCATAAAATAATATCTAAGCCAGGAATCGAAAAAACATTTCATTTTCTGAAAATGTCCTCACGGACCAAAGTCAAAGAACTTAATGCAACACATTGTTCTTCGACAGAAGGACCTGCAAAGACCAAACAAATGAAAATCCTCAAAAACAGACGATCTGATAAAAATCAGAACCTCCACTTTGCTCGGATATATTTGCATTTCGCTGGTGTAAATAGCGATAAGCAAATATAAGGGAGCTAAGTTAAAAAGAATTGATTTTAATGAGATTTTCAAATATATACATTAAGTAATTAAGGTAAATGTGCCTTTCTTACTGCATTTAAATAATAAATAGAAAAACAAATTCTTCATAAGGTTGTGTTTTTTTAAAAGCTATTTAAAGTATTTAGTTATGAAGAGTAACGTCCCCTGACTTTAACTATTTAAATCCAGTAAATTATTTAACTTCCAATGTGTCAACAAGTAATGTCTTGTTAAGGTATGTATTTTTTTCATGGTTCCCTGTGTACAAATTCAAAGCACACACCCTTACACGCACAAATAAACACGCATACACACACAAATAGAGTATATTTACGCTTATTTCTTTTTATCAACTTTCGTTTTAGATAGGTTTGAATATGTGAATGTTTTACTATATTTACCTGTGTATTTAACCTGATTGCATTTTGTGTTGCCTTGAGTCTTTTGTTAGCTAAAAATATTCACAAAGCTTCAAAATATCCTATAAAAAATCTTACGATACAAGGTTAATGCCTAGTCCTATAACATGTATAAGTGAACGACCATTTAACTTAAAAAAAGAGGAAGGAGGGGGGGGGGGGGGGTGTTATGGTTTTTTCCTAAAAAAATATTCTGATCCCCAATTTGATGAAAAAATATATTGTGGTCGAGCAGATGACAAAAAAAATATTCTGAATCCAGATTTCCCCATACCTTATAGTGTTAAATTTTGAAAAAAATTATTTGACTGAAAGCGTTCGCGCTTTGCTCGAAAATATTTTTCTGACTCAGACAATAAAATACATACCCCCCCCCCCCCCCCCCCCTGAAGATAAATGGTTGCTCCCTAAGTAAGTCGATACCTTGGGTTCATGTTCTCTATTAAACGTTTGTACTCTGAAATTTGCTTTAGATATAAGTCGCTTATTCCCCGTAACAAAATCTGAAACTTATTTAATTATAAAATTCCGTGAGAAAACAGAATTATTTTTACGATTTACTCGATACAATTTAAATTATCACCAAGAAAGTTTCCATTTTGGATGGATGAAATATTTATCTTGTGAGAAATTGTGAAAGTTTGAATCTCGGGTAAATTAAAATTGTATGAATTTCAAGATTACTGCTTAGAAATATGTCTTGTGTTTTCGAAATTAAAATGCAATTTAGGTGAACATTGTGCAATAATGAGCATTTTACCGTTTGATTTACAACATTTCATGAAAAGAATTACTTCGATTGCCTTTATAGCGTTTCTGGTAGATATGTTTAGCCATTTTCTTTCCGCCCTGAAATCATGTAAGAAAGTGTCATAGATAAATGACATTATCCTATATGACTTCACATTTCAATAAAACAAAAAACAGCAAAAAATGTAGCAGCCTTAAAAATAGAAAACAGAAAAGAAAATGGGGAGTCATTTGTTATAGTACTAGATCAAATTTGTCCAGGAAGTGCAAACTGGTGAAATTGTTGATTCATGTTCTAGCGAACATATTTTAATTGTATATTCTGAATAATTATGAAAAACAACGGTAAGACCACCTTGCAGATGTGTCTCACTGACAATCTAAAACATCTTCATATATTTGTATATGAGTTTAGGTTTTCGTAGTTCATTTGAATTTAATATGTATTACACAAATCATAATGGAAATAACGATTTAAAATTAATGATGTGGATTTAAATCTAAAACTATAGTTGCATTATGCACACTTCATATTCATATTCTAAGGGATCTTGTTATTTGGAGAATTTGGTGTTGATGGATGAATGGATGGATGGCTGCTTAACGTCCAGCGGCAAATTAATATGCATATTCAGGGCGAAAACATGTTAATGTAATATGAATATTTACCCTGCTTTGTACTAGACCGACACGCTGAGCCGGATATTTAACGTGCTAGTTCACAAGGTAACAGTCCACAGGAAGACATGTCACCTTACCTGGACATATTATTCTGACTCCGAGCTGACCAATCTTTGCTCTTATTCCTTAATACCGCGTGCTTAGCGGAGAAGCAGCAAATAACCATTTTAAAGTCATTGGTTTGACCCGGTTGGGGTTCGAACCCACGACCTCCCGCACTCCAGGCGATCACGTTACCAAGAGACCACCGAGGCGGTTAATTTGGTGTTGATGGCAGATCTGTAATAGTTTCTGTAAAGTTTATTCACAACTTCACCTGTCTGGTGTTGAAGACTTAGGTGAGGGTCTGGATGGGAACCTTTTATTTCTGTATTCTTTATTTTTTAAGGTCATTTTTCTTTATTCTTTATATTTTTTGCCTATTATTCTCTATTCTTTATATTTTAGAACCTCATTTTTCTCTGTTCTTTATTTTTGTGGTTCATTTTTCTCTATTCTTTATATTTTTTGCCCATTGTTCTCTATTCTGTAAACCTCGATCCACGCCCTCATAGGTATTTTTGGTTATTCGTGTCCACTGTGTTCATGTCCTAAGGTTGTGCCTCTTTGACGGTTAGCAAACATGACTATTCATTCATATTTAAATGAAATTTTCTAAAGTTTTAAAAAACTTTAATTCTGTGTAGCCTAATGGGAATTTTTCTTTGAATACATTCAGTTTTGAAAATATGAATACTTTTATTTGTTGTACGTACTTTATAATACAAAGATATTGATATGAAGTTCAAACAATTAAAGCTCGAGACATATAGAGCAACAATATATCTAAAAAATGTATACAATTTTAAATTCTTTTTAATCTGAGGTGTTTATTCTTATATCATCCTCAGTTTGCAGGAAATATTTGCCACTGGACGTTAAGCAAATGACCAATCAATCAATGAGAAGGACAGACAACACCGAGGCCAAAAAGAATAAAAAAGAGTAAAAGACAAACAGCTGCTCATAATAATTCCTTTTTTTGTTTAAATTCCATAATCACAAAAATAGTCAAAAACGCTAAAATTCATGTATTATTTAAACTTCCAAACCGCGAAATTATACACCGACCTAAAAAGAAAAATATACTATCATACTGTAAGATATAATGATTTAGGCAAGAGGACACAAACATCAAGGGTTGAATTGAATATAGGAATATCGTGACTGGGACTCCTTTCTGCCGTCAGTAATACCCATGCTGAGGGGCGGCCATTTTAGTGTGCAGGGTGTATGTGTAACAGTGGTTTGATTCCGCCAGTGTACTTTATCCGGAGGAAGAAAATCCCCAGTGATTTTTATCCACCAACAAAAATTCACTAGGTTTTTCTATCCGGGTTCAGTGTAAAACATCCACCAGTCATTATAAGGTTCTAAAAAGTTTTTATTGAAGGGGAAATATATATAAAATGTGGCTTAATAGTTTTTAGTGTATTTGAAACTTGCATCGCTGGTTTATATAAAAAGTGGAGAGTTTTCATCCAAGGAATGTTTACACTAGTGTTTTTGAACCAGGAATGATTACACTAGTGATTTTATACCGGGATTAATTACACTAGGGCTTTAGATCCATACATTGATGAAGTGATTAGTACTCATTTTGAACACACGATAACACAATAATGCTTATTAACGAATAAGATTTAAATAATTTTTCTATGCAAATCTATAAAATCATATGCTTTAACAGTATATCTAACATGTCAATATATATGTTCCTGATTTGCTCTTTGGTCGACTTGGATATAAAATCATATCTTCTTTGTCAATATCAAAGGATGCTTCTATAATTGAAACTTTATGTAAGAACACATCTGCTCTCTTTAAATTTGGTTTGTATCAAGTTCAATGTCCTGATCATTGATAAAGTATTTTGAGTTATAAAAATATCCTCTTCGTCATCATCAATATTATTTACTAGATTGACTCAGATTAATTAAACTGGTTCCTTGAAAATTATTTCAATTTTAACCCATTTATTTATGTAAACAATAAACCGGTCTAATATAAACAAAATAACAATATCTAGATCGACGCTTTCATACTATTTACATCCAATATTCTCTAGTGAAAAACAGTTACCCGGAATAAATACACGGCGGAATGATTTGATTTTGATTTGATTTTTGTGTTTTTAACGCCATTTTTAAGCACCGCTTTTGGGCTATTTCGTGGCGGCCAGTTTTTATTGGTGGAGGAAGCCGGAGTGCCCGGAGAAAACCACCGACCTTCGATAGGAAAACTGGCAATCCTAATCAGTTAAGATTGGAGTCGAGTGCACCCGCACGAGCGGGGTTCGAACTCACAACCTCAGTGTTGACTGGCTAGTGATTACAGTAGTAACTACTTAGACCACACGGCCACCGAGTCCCCTCACGGCGAAATGAAACTATGCTTACATATGAATACATAGTCGTGCCCTGTCGGAAATGAGTCATTAAATTCAATGCCTCATGTAGGTAGAGTGTCACCCTCCACTCGATAAAGAACCATTGCATCAATTATTTATAAGATTTGTATATGAAGGTGACCTACGCAGTAATCCTATCATTCAATTGGAAATCCAAATTTCCCGCTCTTCCTGCCGGTGCACGAACTTTGCAGAACTTATTTTTTTCCATGTATGCGTTCTGTTCCTGAATAAGATACGATAAGATTAGATATTTTTTCATTCCAATTAAAGGGCCAATGAAGAGCAAAGTAATTTACAACAATGTGTTCTCTTCCTGAATATGCATGAACTATTTGCCAATGAACGTGAAGTAAACAACAATCAAATAACTAATTATTCAATTATGTTTCAGGTGGCAGTTTAAATTTACTGTAATCTTTTATATACATGCACTCTCTTTATCATCTATATTGCAGGATCATGGCCAGTAATTGTGGTCTGTGTGGTGTTTGTGATAATCGTCAGATAACCAAACCATCAGAAGTCTGGTGTTCTGAATGTGACGAAGGACTATGTACAGACTGCCAAGAACACCACAGTGTTTCCAAGGTAACGAAACACCATGCAACAGTTTCCATGGTCGAATACAAGAAATTACCGATGGAAATTCTCCAGGTCTGCAAAAAACATAACGAGAAATACGAGTTTTTCTGTAGAAAACACGATTGTCCATGCTGTAAGAAATGTTTGAAATCTCACAAAGATTACAAATGTTTAACTGGCATTAACGAAGCCATAAAAAACGTCAAAGCTTCAAATGCATTTTATGAAATCGAACAATCCTTGCTGGAACTTGTCGAAAATATTAAACAAATCAGTACTAACCGGGATGACAATTTATCATCGCTGGAAACCAAGAAAAAAGAAATTAAAGTAGATATAAAACAAACCAGGACCAAGATAAATCATCACCTTGATAAACTTCAGGAGGATTTGATGAAAGAATTAATGGCGATGGAACAAAAAGAAAGCAACAAAATACGACAGTTGCTGACTACTTTAAGACAGAAGGAACAAGAGATCGCAAAATACCAAGCAAACTTTGCTTATATAAAACATTATGCATCGGAGCTGCAAACATTTTTGTCAATGAAGCATATTCAAAAAGATATGGCTGTCGAAGAAACATTTATTCAATCGCTTACCAAAAGTGACACCCTAAATCAAGTCAATATTTCATACCAAATTAACAAGTCTTTACAGCAAATCACGGCCAACGTACAGAGGTTTGGAGATATCAATGTCCGTTCTGATCCGTGTGATTTTTCCATTCAGAAACGGAAGGACAGACAAGCCCAGATTATGGTAGCTTTTCCAAACAGAAATATCGATAACCTAACTTTGACGTTACAGAAACGTATCAGATCTGTCAAATGTCCAAGGTTGTTCTATGCTTCCTGATGGAAGGATGATATTCTCCTGTCATTACCAAAACAAAATAAAAGTATTGAAATCAGACGGATTAAAAGATTTTGAAATCAACAAAATTGGTTTTACGTTTGATGTGTTGTTTATTGGTGATGATTCTATTGCTGTAACATCTGGCGAATCATGTAAGATTAATATAATCGACTTAAAGAAGCACAAACTAAAGACATCAATATACGTAAAGTCAGGCAATGATGGAGCAGTATACAAAGCCGGACATTTGATTTATTGTGCCAGGGAGAAAGGACTACAGATGATTAGTCTTGGTGATGAATCCATTACCAATGTTACCAGTAACGAACTTTCTAATTATGCGTACGTTGCAACGTCCGGGGACAAACTGTTCTACACAAACTATGACAATCACAGTGTAACCTGTTGTGACTACCTTGGTAACATACTGTGGACTTTCAGTGATACAAGTGTTCTGATGACTCCACTCGGTATATCTGTAGACAGTGATGGTAACGTGTTTGTAGTGGGATATAATTCTCACAATGTGGTCGTCATCTCTCCTGATGGACAACGCTACAGACAACTTTTATCAATTGAAGATGGGCTGATGACTCCAACAGTTCTGCACTATGACACATCTACCAATAAATTGTTAGTGGCAAATTGCAATAAAGACGCGTTGATGTATGTAATTAAATATTTCAGTATAAATCTAACCTAACAAAATATTGCGTTGTTCTAGATTACAGACTAAGATTTAAATAAATTATTTATTTTGATCTGATCTCGTCCTTTGAAAAACTTGTAGGCAAGGTAATTTTCTGTTATTCATATAAATCTTCTCCTGTAATGAATATTATAACATTCTATATATACTCATTGGAACTGTGATGAAATCATTTAAAATTTTAATTCTTTCCAAAAAATTATGTATGTGCCTTTTCCAAACCGGTAACTTCTAATCAACATGATCAGGTGGTTGTCGTTTCTTGCTGTATATCATATTTGTTTTCTTAGTTTACTGTTTCACTATTAATTAGACAATTGGTTTTGTTTCACTATTAATTAGACCATTGGTTTACTGTTTCACTATTAATTAGACCATTGGTTTTGTTTCACTATTAATTAGACCATTGGTTTTGTTTCACTATTAATTAGACCATTGGTTTACTGTTTCACTGTTTACTGTTTCACTATTAATTAGACCATTGGTTTTGTTTCACTATTAATTAGACCATTAGTTTTGTTTCACTATTAATTAGACCATTGGTTTACTGTTTCACTATTAATTAGACCATTGGTTTTGTTTCACTATTAATTAGACCATTGGTTTACTGTTTCACTATTAATTAGACCATTGGTTTACTGTTTCACTATTAATTAGACCATTGGTTTTGTTTCACTATTAATTAGACCATTAGTTTTGTTTCACTATTAATTAGACCATTGGTTTACTGTTTCACTATTAATTAGACCATTGGTTTTGTTTCACTATTGATTAGACCATTGGTTTACTGTTTCACTATTAATTAGACCATTGGTTTACTGTTTCACTATTAATTAGACCATTGGTTTTGTTTCACTATTAATTAGACCATTGGTTTTGTTTCACTATTAATTAGACCATTGGTTTACTGTTTCACTATTAATTAGACCATTGGTTTACTATACAGTATGGCTTAGGCTCATTGTTGAAGACCTTACGATGAGCGTCATCTCTTCACATGTGTCCTTTGGTCTTTGAATAGTAACAGTATATAAAATTTGTTGTTATTACATGTACCATGGTAACATACTGTACCAGAGTTGTCGGGTATCCTCTCGGTATATCCGTAGACAATGATGGCAACGTGTTTGTAGTGGGATGTAGTACTCACAAAGTGATCGTCATATATCCTGATGGACAACGCTACAGACACCTTTTATCACGTGATGATGGACTGAGATACCCACAGGTTGCGCACCATGACAAATCTACAAATAAATTATTGGTCGAAAATGAAACCATTGACGCTTTCATGTATGAAGTTAAGGTGAATCATCGGTATATATTTCCTCAGACAGAATTTTCTTATACTTTGCGAAATGTAAATTTGACTACGCTTTATTACAAAATATAAAAAAGTTCTATTTTTCAAGCTACGAGTCGCACATATTATTCATGTAAAACCCTTTTTTTAGTAATTAAAAAGAAATCTATGAGATAGAGTTTTGAAATAAAATATGAGAAGGTATGTTTTTATAAAATGTTTTAAGCGAATAAAAAGAAAAAATGGTGTTACCGAACTTGTTTTCTTGCTATAAGTAAAAATTAGAATTTCATTCACTTTCCTTTATAAAATTGCTACTATTAGAGTTATCTTCCCTTAAATGGCTAAGTTGAAAAATTGATTCGAACAAAACAAATATTTGGTATTAGTTAAAACAGTCTAAAAAATGCAAAAAATCACTTATTTTTCTTTATTCACATAAACAGTCTCACACATCAATTGCCAATCTGTCTCAAAATAGTAGTGATCGTCAGTTGCTGTATGTCATACTTGTATTTTCTTCATTGTTGCAACATTAATTATGCCGTTGATTTTCTCTTTTCGATTGTTTCAAATTTGTCATACCGGAGCCTTTTAAAGCTAACTATATATACGGTATGGATTTTGATCATAGTTAAAGGCCGTACGATGACCCGTAATCACATGTTTCACATATTTGTCCTTTGTTCCATGGATGGTTGTTCCATTGGCAATCATACCAAATCTTATTTTCATATTGTTATTTCATAAAATGTTTTCAAAGGACATGTGGTTTTACTCGTTATTGTCAAAAAGGCAAATATAAGCGTGTGACACATTCAAAACATAAACAAAACAAAAACAAAATACATGTATATATGAAATATATATGCACAACTTTATTAATGCAGCCAAAAGATCATTTGGTCATATAACGTTATTTACAAATTAAATACAAATATTTAAATGCACATTAAAAGATGCTCACACACAATAAACGTAAAATTATCGCGCATATTTCAATAGGAAATTTAGACAGCTCTAGCATCTCCATTCCCCAGTTCAAAAGACCTTTATCAAGGAAAGAAATATATTTAAAGGAATGAGTTCTTTATGCTTGGTGCAGATTTAATTGATATATTTAGCAGTCTAAATGATGACATATTGTGAGTTTGAGAGATGTTGCATTGTAAAAGTAATTTGAAAAAAATGGCATTTAAAAAAAACCAACTTAAAGTCCGACCATTAAAATCCCCCAAGTAGAATTAATTTGTACAGGGAAATTATTTTATTTTCTTCCTGATCCTTATTTTTCATCCTTACGGAGCTATCATTTGATTTTTTAGGGGGGGGGCTAGGATGAGCAACTTCGCCAAAAAAAGGCAGGATGACAATTTATGTTAAAAAAGTCAGGATAAACTAATAAAAAAAAGGCAGTACCGAATAGAGTGAAAAATAAAAAGGCAGGACAGAGATTACAACTAAAAAAAAATGCAGGACAAAATTTTTCATCCTAGCCCCCCCCCCCCCCCCCCCCCCCCCCCCCCCCCATAAAAATCAAATTGTAGCTCCCTTACATCTTAATGTGTGTTAAGCTTTTCTTGCCATGAAGCAAAGTATCATTCAATCATGAAATTAAATCTGAATTATATTTAGACACGAACAAATGTCTTAGTGTTACCTTTCAAATTATGTCATTGATTTTTCTTTACAGTAGAATCTTTTGATTACAGTAAAAACAAAGGATTATTCGGTAAATTATATTTGTGAGCTTTACCCGTGGTAACATTTGCATACAGCATTTTATACATCTGGAGACATCCGTTTGTGCAAAAAATGCATCCTTTTGCCACAACTCATTTGTGTCAATGCTATGTTTGCGCTACTAGCTATAGTATTCAAAATACTTAGCATCATTTGCGCCAAAAATAAAGTATACGATTGCGCCAATTAAAAAAGAATGACTTCCTTCCTGGTTATAATATTGAATATAGGTATTAACTCTTCGGGAAATAATTTAATGTTCCATCTCAGGGGCGGATCCAGGGGGCTTAATTCAAGAATAGGCAAACTATACTGCTGATCGAAGCGAAGCGAAACATTTTTAGACGATTTTATGCTAAAAATCATATGATGATAATAATAATAATAATAATAATAATAATAATAATAATAAAAATAATAATAATAATAATAAAAATAATAATACGAATTGTGAGAAGATTTTTCTGTCTTTTTTTGCGATAAAAAAGGGGGTCTTATCCTGGAATCCGCCACTGCATCTGCAAATACATCTTTTGCATCAAAGCAAAGAAATCTTATGTACGTTTCACAACCAAAAAATCACAATGTCGCAGTCAATATCATTTACTAAAACAAAATATTCATCCTTATTTGTTACGATTTCATCTTTATATAAAATTTCCTAAACCTTTTATGGACTAGCTGGGTTTTTCACTGAAAATGGATTGTCTGATACAGTTCAAATCATTTTTTTTTCCAGGTGATATTTTCAATATGAAATATCTCCGAACATAAATTATGATCATACACTTTTTTTTATTGTATACTAACCTTTCATTTTATTTTTCAAGCAACAATTATTATAGTTACATTTATTTATGATTATTATGTACGATAATTTTGTGTATAGGTAATCTGGCCCAGATGAATTCCATATATTGGCGCAATTATATACATACAAATCACAATTGAGTAGCCCCCACTCCACCCAAAAAATTAATAACCCCAAGGTAAGCATAATCTTAATATGCGATACGAATGTTATATATATTATTAAATGCAAACTCAAGAATATACAGGGAGATGCACGTAGAAATCTCAAGACTATGGAGGGAACCTGAGGGAAGTGTACATAGAAAGCTCAAGACTAGGGCTAGGGGAAGTGTATATAGTAAGCTCAAGACTATGGGGGGAAACCTGGGGGGAGTGCACATAGAAAGCTCAAGACTATGGGGGGGGGGGGGGGGGGAACTTGGGGGAAGTGTATATAGAAAGCTCAAGACTAGGGGTGGGGGGAACCTGGGGGAAGTGTACATAGAAAGCTCAAGACTATGGGGGAAACCTGGGGGGAAAGCAACTTTAGAAGCCTAATCCATTGATAAGTTCAGTCTATGGTAACATCTACAAGCTTAAATTATCCATCGTAAACTGTCACACAGATATAACGGTCATCCAAGTTATAATTGTTTGTCATGAGAGATTTTAAATATTTCAACTTATTCAGTATATAATTTGGAAAATATTGACAACATATCTTAATTTGCCAACCATTTGACAAATTTTCCTGTTTCCTGTTTTCGGAGATTTCATCGTATAAATCTTAGTTTTTGACTCGATATTGTAATTTCTGGTAATGAAATTTTGTCAGTTTCCGTAAACAATCATGTATATACTTTGAAAAAATTACCGATTTCCTGTTTCGGAGACTTTATGACAATTTTTGCCTCAAAAGCTTCCTTATACAATCATGTTTGTGATGGTTCAAATAGAGTTATATTTCAATAACAGGCTTGCTTCATCAATAAATAACATGAATATTTAAATTTTACAGTTTTCATTTTTTATGGCCCCGCAACAAAGTTGTCGGGGGCATATAGTTTTACCCTTGTCCGTCATTCCGTCATTCCTTTATTATGTCATTCCGTCATTCCGTCATTCCGCAACAAACCATTATACGGACTTTTTTTCTAAACGCCTTCAGATATTGGGCTGATTTTCGGGATGTGAGTTGACCATGATGAGTTACA